ATTAATGTGAAACATTCAAAGCCATGGGTCACTGAACTATGACAACACAGACGAAAGTGAGTGAAACCTCATTGTAAAGTGAGGTTTACTGTACCTTATCTGTCCACCCTCACTCGTCCTGTTTCATCACAGAAAATGTATATAAGAAGATTTCAACATACTGTATTAGCTAGCTATTCACGCTTCAGCCTTTAAATTAATTTACAAAGATACGTGTGCCACAAATTGGTGAACGAAAATCATTGAAACTCAGTCGTTCACTTGTGTGGACGACTCTGGCTGGTGTTTGGTTAATATGCGTCACTTCTTGTGGACCATTCTGGCTGGTGTTTGGTTCATATGATTCACTTGTTGTGTGGTCCACTTGTGTGATCCAACTTGTCTTATGAAGGAATTATTAATTGTAATCTGTGATAGAATGAAACAGTTTTCCACCACTCTGTGAACTCTGTCCCAACATCGTAAGCTTGTGGACCACTTGTGGTCCACTTGTGTGGTCCATTTGTGTGATCCAACTTGTCATATGAAGGAATTATTAATTGTAATCTGTGATGGTATGGTAAAGTTTTCTACCACTGTGAACTATGTCCCAACATCGTAAGCTTGTGGACCACTTGTGGACCACATGTGCGGTCCACTTGAGTGGTCCACCTGTGTGATCGAACTTGTCATATGAAAGAATTAATAATTGTAATCTGTGATAGAATGTGAAAGTTTTCCACCAGTCTGTGAACTCTGTCTTGACGTCGTAAGCAAATCCGAACATCCCCCGCTTCGGCGAACCATTGTTCGTCGAACCGGGTGAGTAAATCTGGCCTGAAAAGTGTGCGAACTAGCCGGAGATTCATTGAATCGGGGTACGTTGAATCGAGGTTGTACTGTATTGAGAAAATTCGTGTTAGATTTAATAATCTTACTTTTTCGGTCATATTTAAATATATATATATAATATGTGTGTATACTTTTTCTTTCGGAAGGGGCTCTGTCCTCTTTGCTGTTGACGGGGCGCTGGGGAAGCAGCTTGCTCTGTTGACTCTCGCACGGGCCCGCAGTTAGTGAGCGCTTTTGGTTGTCTTCCGGTCTCTGGTGGCGGCGGCGGACAGCTTCGGCCCCTTTGGGGGGTTCAGGGCTGGCAGGGTGGGCTTCTTCCCCTGCGCTTCGTCATGTCATCTTAGTGGGTACGTTGGAGATGGTCAATAATCCCCATCCTTCTGGGGTTCCTATCTGCTCTATGCAGACACGGGCCTGGCGAATCGGCGGTTCTTCTGGACTTGTTCAGTCTGCGCCGTGGATTCTATGCCCCTCATTGGAGGACTGTTGTCTCCGGTCCGGCTTCTGTTGGAGCCGGGTGCCTAGATGGTGGCCCTGGACCTCCAGGTCACTTCTTGGCACGTTCCTCTCCAATTTTCCGGGACTGGCACAGTTGGTGGTTGGGCTTCAGGCTTGCCGCTTTTGTTACCTTCCCTAGTTTGTAACTGGCACTTGGTGTATTCGCATCTTTACCAGAACTTGGTGCCCTGTCTGAGTGTGCTTGGGATTCGGTGTCTGGCCTATCTCGACGACTGGCTGGTGTGGACTCCCAGTTGGTCCGCTTGTCTGTTCGCCAGGGGTGTGGTTCTTTCCAGATCGCCGGGTTTGGTTTCCTGGTGATCTGGAGGCCGTTTCAACTGTTTCCGTCACGGGTTCGGACCTGGCTGGGTCTTGTTTAGGGCTCTTGGGCCGCTCCTTGTCTTTCCCCTCCAGAAGTGTTGCTGCGGCTGCCTTCCTGCCTTCGGCTGTTCATGAAGGGGGTCCCGGTTTGCTCGGCAGTTGCTCGAGCAGTTGTGCGGGAGTCTGAACTTCGACGTGCTGGTCTGCCCGCAGGGTCGGTCGGCCGAGCGGACAGCACGCTGGACTTGTGATTCTGTGGTTCTAGGTTCGATCCCAGGCGCCAGCGAGAAACAATGGGGAGAATTTCTTTCACCTTATGCCCCTGTTACCTAGCAGTAAATTAGGTACCTGGGTGTTAGTCAGCTGTCACGGGCTGCTTCCTGGGAGTGAAGGCCTGGTCGAGGACCGGGCCGCGGGGACACTAAAAAAAAAGCCCCGAAATCATCTCAAGATAACCTCAAGATAACCATTCGGCTCCATTCGGATTGTTCTCTGGCGATTCTTTGCCGGAACCACAGGGTTTCTCTTAGGTGTTTGACCTTTGGGGTTGGTCCCTTCGAGTGGCTCGTTTGCTGGATTCTCAGGGTTTGGCTAACCGTGAGGTTCATGTCCGGGGTGTGTCCTACATCCTGGCGGACAGCCTGTCTCGGTTCATTCCTCTATACACGGATTGGCCAGTTATCGCCAACTCGTTTCGTTGGCTCTACTGGACGTATGGATTCCTGGCCATGGACATCTTTGAGTCGGCGTGGTCTAGGCGTCGCCCATTCTATGTCCAGCGCCCTTACCCGCCTGCGAGGCGTTCACGGTGGATGCCTTTTGGCAGGACTGGTCGAAGTGGGGGTACTGGTTCCTCTTCTCCCAGTCCAGCTGTTGCTTCGAGTTCTGGCTCAGTTGAAGCCCATTCCCAAGATGAGTAGTCCTCATGGTCCCTTGGTGGCCAGCCCAGCTTTATTTTCAGACTCTGCTTGATAGGTTCATGAGGGGAGCCGGTTCACGACGGGGAGCTGGTCGGCTGAGCAGACAGCACACTGGACTTGTGATCCTGTGGTCCTGGGTTCGATCCCGGGTGCTGGCGAGCAATGGGTAGAGTTTCTTTCACCCTATGCCCCTGTTACCTAGCAGTGAAATAGGTACCTGGGTGTCAGTCAGCTGTCACGGGCTGCTTCCTGGGGGTGGAGGCCTAGTCGAGGACTGGGCTGCGGGGACACTAAAGCCCCGAAATCATCTCAAGATATAGGTGTCCGAACCCAGGGCGTTTTCCTGTGGCTCTGCCTATTTCGGCAGGTTGGACCGGTCTTGTACGTGACTGGTTCGGCCTTCTCCTTCGCTCTTCACGTCTGGTTTTTTGACGCGGGCATCACCATCTCTGTGGTGATCAGGTGGCTTAGTTGATGGTGTCGCACCTGCGAGCTTCGTCTCAGTGACAGTATGATGTTCCTGGTGTTTTTATGCACCTTTTTCTTTCTCTTCGTAGGGTTGTCTTCTCTTTTGCATCGGGTTGTCTTCTCTTTCGCATCAGGTTGTCTTCTCGTTCGCATCGGGTTGTCTTCTCTTTCGCATCGGGTTTTCTTCTCTTTCGCATCGGGTTGTCTTGTCCTTTCTTGGGTTTTCAGGACTACAGTTATTTGACGTTTCTTACTGTCGCCTCGTTTTGTGCGGCGCTGGCGGAGCCGCTCCGGCTCATGGTTTCGAGGTGAACGTCAAATCTGCCCCGTTCTGTACGCTTTCTTGTGTTTTGCTTCACCTCCGGCCTGCTCATGCGTCGCCTGAGCCGTCCTGGTCCTTGATCAGGGTTCCCTCTTATCTTCTCCTCAGTTTGTAGTAGCCCCTTCGGTTCAGGTTTCTGCTCTTAGGTACTGGTGGCAGGTTTGTATGTTTGCAGCCTTTCTCCGTCCTTCTGGCGACGGTCGAGACGGTTGCTTTCCGGAGGGGTCTTTAGGTTATTGATGCATAATTGGTTTGGCCGGGGGTGCGTCCTGTGTCATCCGGTTGTGCTTTTTTGCCGTTACCTGCGTACCGTGTCTGGGGATGTGCTTTGGGTTGATCCGGTTCCCCTCGTTCCCTGTTTCAGGGCTCAGGTCTCCCAGGTCGTCCGCAGAGTTTTTAAGTCTTCCAGCCTTCGTTCTATTTTTGTGCCTGTGCTGTTCGGACGTTTGCAGCTTTCGCTGCTGTGTTGGTGACATCTAGGGCTCATTTCGGGCGCAAGGATTTGAGGGTCGCACAGGTTCCTGGCCTCCCGTTCTTTATGCGCGCGTGTGCTCCTGTGCATTCTTGTTGCCTTGTGTCACAGGTTGCAGCCTGTTGTCTCGGCTTCGCGTTGCGGAGTTTGTGGCGCCCGCCTCCCGGGTCAGCCCTTTCTTTTCCTTCTCTTTGGGTATGAAGCTCCAGGGAGCCGTAGGGGCTCCCCACAGAAAACCAGTGTTGAATGTAATGAAACGCCATTTTCTGGGTGAACCCCCGGAGGCTACCTGGCAACCCTCCCTCCCACCGGTCGGTGTTTTTTTCGCTATTGTTGAAGCTTAGCTTCCGAACTGATGCTAGGCAGCCGGCGCGGTGAGGTCCGAGGCTCCCCCTCCCCCCCTTCCCCTCTCGGAGTGGGGAGGGCTGTGGGGACGATTGGCGCGGCAGTAAAATGTGATGTTTGCTTGTTTTCTTGTTTCCTTGGGATTGTAGGGAGTTTCTACCTCTCTGTTCGGTTTTTTGTTTTAGTTTTTTTACCATGTGGGGTTTGTTTTGTTATGCTTACCTTTCTGGGTGCCTAACCCCGGTCGATGGCAGATAAGGAAAACCCCAACCACAAGGCGGTTTTCCAGGGCCATTGCTCCCTGAAACCTGCCTGCAGGGGCCAGGTTCTGGCGCTGGTCCGTGGTAGGTTTGAATTCCTTAGCTAATGTCCCGGTCTAATATAACATACATTAGCCTGATAAGCTCCTGGGAGCCTCCAGGGCTCGCCCAGAAAATGGCGTTTCATTACATTCAACGCTGGTTTTTTTGTCCAGATAGACACCGTCAACCCAACAACCTCTTGCCTGTATTATCTCTGTGGCTCTATCATAAAAACTAAGTAGATTTATTACACAGGATTGTCCTGTTGGAAACTATACTATCTGTTTGTTATTACGTCATCTGTGTGTGCATGTATCTATTTGCAGTGTAGAGGATATACCTAAATCTTGTGATGTTCCACCTTCCTTTGCCCAATTTTTGTATTTTATCATAAAGTTAATTTCTTAGTTTTCTGTTTAAATCCAAATACTTGATATTAATGTTATATTTTTAATTTCATTTGGTTTCCTAAAATAGCACAATTGACTAAAGTATTTTTATGGATACGTCAAAATTTTCAGATTGGTGGCCGAGGCATAATTTTCTTTTGCTTGATTGAAGGAGAAGAAAGAATGCAAACAAAACCTGTTATCTTTTATCTTTTCCTTGTGTGGTCACTTATAGAATTGGTAAGGTAAGTTCCCTTCTGCTCTCTAATCCATATAAATGTAAGATATGACTTGCATGCTACCTTAGGACCCAGGAGCTGAAACATACTTTCCACAAACTTGATTAGGTAATAATACATGTAACTTAATAATGCTGGAAAACTCTAGGTTTTTGTTCTAGGCTAGTTCCTGATTTAAAGGAACTAAACTGTGCTGTAAGTTGAAAGAACTAAATATCAAAGTGTTGGAGAAATTAAGACTCACACGTAGACATGACATAAAATACTCGGGCATGACGGGATGGACAGTGATCAGTTGCTCAAAAATAGTGAGACCAGGGGCCAGATTCACGAAGCAGTTACACAAGCACTCACGAACCTGTACATCTTTTTGCAATCTTTGGCTGCTTTGTTTACAGCTTGAAGCACCAGAAGGCTGTTTATAACAACAAGAACAATTGATTGGGAAGTTTTCATGCTTGTATGTATGCTGTTTTAATAAATGTGACCAAAGCCGTCAAAGATTGAGGAAAGATGTACATGTTCGTAAGTACTTGCATAACTGCTTCATGAGTCTGGCCCCTGAACTAGAGAAGAAACTGGCATTCAGTTAATTAACAGTATCGATGGCCGTGGATGACGCTCACATGCACTTTTTTTCTCTTGAGTCCTAGCCGTGGACATCGCTCGCGTCCATTGCAAAAATATTTCTATAAAATTCATTTTTTATCCGATTGACTTCGGGATAGTTTCAAAATAAATTCCCTTAGACTGCACACAATTTGTTACCAAAATAAAAGATGTAACATGAAACCTGATGTCAGAACACTTGAAAGATTATAAATTCATTTTTGGTCAAAATTTTAAAATATTTGTTAAAATTCTATTTATTGTGCTATTATTTTGGGACTAGTTTTAAAATGCGCGCCTTAACATTGCGAACAGTTTGATACCAAAATGAAAGTTGTAACACAAACAGAACACTGGAAAGATATAAATAATTTTGTGATGATAAGTGTACAAAATTAAAATATTTGTTAAAATTCCAGTTATTGCTCAATTATTATGAGACTAGTTTTAAAATACGTGCCTTTATATTGCGAACAATTTGATACCAAAATGAAAGACGTAACACAAAAATTTATGTTATCAAACTGAACGAGTATACATATTAGGTTGCGGTGTGCCAATTGGTGCTCGTTTACAGGTAATTTTAGGCTTTCCTACGGGGAATCATGCCGGGCTTTTGTACATTATATGCATATACACCTGCAGGGAATTTAATTGCGAACACAATGATACCAAAACGAACTACGTAGCACGAAAATTAAGGTGAGAAAACTGAAACAAGTATACACATTTCAGTGATGCAGCGCGCTTGTTCGCACGCTCGCCTGCACCCCAGGGGTGTGACCTCTAAGTTGGCAGCGCACATGCCCGGTGCGTGATAGTGTTAAGAGAAAAAGGGGGAACACTTGAGATGAAAGTGGCTAAAGATGTAAAAAAAAAAAAAAATTCCATGTATTCACCATATATTACCAACTACATATTATCAAGGAGAACCAGCATCACTACAATGCAGCAAACCACCCATTGTAATGCACCATAACACTATAAAACTAGCTGTACAGTGCTCCTTGCTACTTGCTATATTTAACCCTCAAACCGCGTATATCATATATAAATGATATCAGTGACAAAACCAAAACCGCGCACATCATTTATATATGATTTCGTGTCTAGCGCTATAATTTAAACGCCCCGCCTGGGATAGGGGCAGCTATAGTACAGCCACGACCGATAGTTGCCAGATGCCACCTAGAAAAAAAATCCAGGCTAACATTCTTGGGTGTTACAGCGTCAGTATTGAGCAAGCCACCAAGGCTGGCGCACGCAGCACGAGCTCACAGCACCGCTGTTCAGCTTATGACCACAGCATCGCCTACAAATACCATAATATAAATGATACTGCTATTATTTAGCAGTGATAGTATTACTGAAGCCCCCTGACTGTGATAAAACTGACCAGGATTCTGATAATAGCAGGATTGTGGTGATATTTAGCGCTGTGCTCCATGGAGGGAGGAGTAATGCTGTGGGAGGGAGGGTTGTGTCGTCGTTTTCTGACTGTGTGTGGTCACCAATTATTGACTGCACTCACCATACCAGCTTAGTGGTTCGCCATGGTGAACACAAATGTAGATACTTATATATAACGTGTGTATAGTGTGAGCTAACAGCGAGAGGAGTAGGTTGGGAGCCGCCATTTTGGTGAGGGAGGAGCGTCGTCTGCACGACTTGGCATGTTGTTTACTGATGGCCACTATGGTCTTTGGGCACCATAACAGCTTATTTGTTCAGGTATGGTGAATAAAACAGGTAGATACTTTTATATAATGTGTGTATATAGCGTAATAACACCACAAACAATATTGTTGGAGGACAAATATTAGTGCGTCTGGCCTTGAAGGCGGCCGCCGATCAGCTGACTGTGTGAGTAGCTACGTCTTATGGCCTTTACTCACCATACAAGCTTAGATGTACAGTTATGGTGAACAAAACACGTAAATACGTATATATAACGTCTGGGTATAGTGAATAAATACAGAAAGAGTATTGTGGGAGGTAAATGAGGGTGAGTGAGGTGGTGTTGAGGGAAGGAGTGGCAGTGATTGGCTCGCTGGTGTTTGGCGGTCACTCCTCGTTGCTTTTTGACTCACAAGACCAACTTAGTAGTTCGTTATGGTGTACAAAACATGCAGATACTTATATATAACCTGTGTATATAGTGTAACAACAGCAAAACTATTTGTTTATTGTTTTATGAACATAATAATTGAATCACTAATATGCACACCATAATTTTGAGTACAGCGATGGTTCACACATTTTATAATATAAATATACCACAATTCACTGTATGAAATAATATTACTGCAAAAAAACTAAGAAAAAATCAGAGACATTGAAATAATTAGGTAATAATATATTTGTGGCAACTGCCGTCTGACAGCTCGGGCGGAGTAGACCTCATCTGGCGAAGGCTCTGCCAACGCCCCTTTTTTGCCACACTTCCCTACCCTATTGCGGCTAAAATATGCCACCTACGATTTTTTTGTTATTTTTTCCGTGATCAGGGAACAAAAATGAACACTTCTATAAGACGAAAGAATTTTTTGGATTTTTTTTTTATTTGTTGCGCCTGTGGGTGTGAATTCCATTTGGGCCCCTAGCGGTTTGAGGGTTAAACTAAATGCCTCGCAAACTTTTTTCCAGTAATCATTGAAGATACTGGAAAATTCGTTCAGTAAAACATACTCAAGGAATGTGGAAACATTTTCTTTAAAACAGTATACTGTACATTATTTCTTGGAGGAGCCCCTTTGGCTCCCCGGAGCTATCCAGGCTGATGTGCATCTCTTTAGAATTTGGCATCAGTTGATGTGGGTGGCGTTCCATGCCTACCGGGGACCATGAGCCAGAACCTGGGCCCCTCAGAGAGACACGAGGACAATGGCCTATAGAAAGCACATGTGATTTGGAGCATTCTATATCTGTCATCAACCGGGACAGGCACCCAGAAGGTAAGCGCCCCAAGACAAACCCCTATTCTTGTTAAAAACAACAAAAATGGACAAACGAGTGGACAGAACTCCCCAAATGAAAACGAGGAAACTAGCATGACATCACACGAGCTGCACCGCATGTCTGCACAGCTTCCACCTTCATGGGAGGGGGAATGGGGAGTCCCAGACCCCCACGCTGGCACTCCACACCTCACTTCTTTGGCTGATGTGTCCAAACCCGGAGGTTTTTCGGCAGTTCCGCTTCTTTCAACTGATTGGTCTGGTCCGTTACGAGACTGGTTCGCTCTTCTCCTCAAGTCTTCGCATTTGGTCTTTTTGACTCATGTCTATAACCATCTGTATAGTGATCAGGTGGCTTCTTTGATGGTGTCCCACCTGCAGGCTTTGTCTTGGCGGCAGTATGACGTTTCCTGGTGGTCCTTCCATTTCTTTTTGACTCTTTGTCATTGTACTTCACTTTCAGTTCAGGTTGTTTTGTCCTTTGTCTCTTAGTTGTTTCATGATGCTGTCTTATGCTGAATACTGTCGCCTCCTATTGTGCGGCGTTGGCGAAACCGCTGCAGCTTGCTTTCAGTATAGATGTAACTTCTGCGCCGTTTAGCAAGCTGTCTCATCTTTTGTTTCGCCTCTGGCCTGCTCATGCGCCGCCTGAGCTGTCTTGGTCTTTGGACAGAGTGATCTCCTGTCTCTCTTCTCCTCAGTTTGTTGTGGCCCCTTCAGTTCAGGATTGTTTTTCTAAAGCTCTTTTCTTGTTGGTATTGTCCTCTGGGGGTTCGGGTTGCGGAGCTTCATGCTCTTCTCCGGTGCAGGGGTTTCTGCTCTTTTGGTCATGGTGATAAGTTTGTTCGTTTGCAGTCGTTTCCTTCTTTTCTGATGAAAAATGCGACTGCTGCTTTCCTCTGGAGAAAGGGTTGTTGATGCTTGGTTCGTCAGGTCGAGGGTGTATCGTGTGTTGTGTCTGGTTGCGGCCCTCCACTGTTATTTGCACATCACAGCTTCTGTGTCCGGGGACGCGGTTTGGGTTGATCCGGTTTCCCTTCTTCCCTGTTCTCGGGTGCAGGTCTCTCAGGTCATCCACAGGGTTATTAAGTCTATCCAACCTGCGGTCTATCCCTGTGCCCATGACGTTCGTAAGTTTGCTGTGTTTGCTGCTGTCTTTGGTAACATGTCCTGGGCTGACATTCGGGCACAGGGTTTTTGGTGGTCGAACAGGGTCCTGGCTGCAAGCTACCTCATTAATGTTCCTGGGCCTAGTCCAGCCTGTGTCGCTTTGGGTCGGAGATTGCAGCCTTTCTCGACTTCGAGTTGAGATGTGAGCACCAACCGCCTCCCGGGTAAGTCTCCTTTCATTTTTATCTTTGATGAAGTAGCTCCAGGGAGCCGAAGGGGCTCCCCCTAGAAAACCAGAGCTGAATGTAATGAAACGCCATTTTCTGGGTG